GATGTTAATAAAAGGAAGAGACTGTCAGAAACCTCCAGCAAATACAAAGGCAATCCCGCCCATGAGAGCAGAGGTGTTTCTAAGATCTTTTAATGTTCTATCCAAAGCATCTATGGCTCATGGTGCATTCATCCCACATAATCAATGAGCATTTTTTTGAAGCAGTCGTTAATGTGAGGTAATTTATTTTGATAAGGATTAATACCAAGATAGAAAATAAATTAAATAAAAATTGTGACATAACTGTGACAGATAGACATATACCGTCGCGACACTTTTTATAGATAATGATATACTCTGCAAAGTTGTAGTACATCATTTTGTTCTATCATCAATAGTTTTCGCAGCGCATGCCGTGTTAGGTATTTTTTGTGTAATTTTTTCACACCTTGGGATATATTATCGGAGATTTCGTAAGGATCCCAAATTTTTTTGGAAATATAATATAGCCTATGGCACTCACGGATAGTGTAGCTTCCTAATGGTGAAAGAAGTTTTCAAATCGGTCCAGTAGTTTCGGAGCCTATTCAATACAAACAAACAAACAAACTTTTCCTCTTTATAATATTAGTATGATAAAATTACGCAATAGATTTTAATGCAGTTTTTAACAATAGATAGAGTAATTCAAGTAAAGGTTTGAATGTATAATACACACTTATGGAAGGCCATGGCGAGTAGCTAGTGTTAAATAAAAATTAAAAGTAAATTGCTTAGTTTCTTTTATTGCAAAAAAGGTTTATATAAAATAACAATTCATAAAATATAACAATACTTCAGTATACCAATATAATTATATAACATTATTAATAGAGAGCTTTATTTAAAATGAATTGGCGTTATGTGACATTTGTGAAATGCAGTATATGATGGACCAGAGGAAGGAACATTCCAGACGTTCATATCATGTATAATATTATAAACGCGAAAGTTTGTGAATATAGTCGGATAGATGAATAGATGGATGTTTTTTACTCTTTCACGCAAAAACTACTGAACGGATTTTTATGAAACTTTACAGTAATATAGCTTATACATCAGAATAAAACATAGGCTGTAATTTAAAAAGATAAGTAAATTGGGCGAAATATAATGATACTCGTAAATGTTAAGTAAGTGTGATGCAGACGAAGTTATGCGGGGCAGCTAGTCATGTATAATAGCTAATAGAAGTAAACAAATTAATAACTATAATACTGCACTATAGTAGTGATTAAGTTATTAAAAATAAATTTTATATTAATTGCTGTTATGATTAAAATCGTTTAAATTCAGTACTCCAATAGACTATTGCTATTGAGTAAAAATATATGCATCATCACTGGACACTGCAAATTGAATAAACACATGACATACTTGGACCTGTGCTCAACAAAAATTTGGAGATTTTGCCAAGCTGAAGAGGAAACGCCAGTACACTTCCTGGTCCGGGTGTTTCCTATGTATAATATGTATGTACTTACGAAAAAAAATCTATATATTTGTATCAGTTGCCTAGTACTTATAACACTAGGTTTAGCTAGCTTAACTTGGGTCTAGATGGTACTCTGTGAATTGTCCTGTGATCATTATTATTATTATTTTGATAAAGTTACGTATATATTAACTATGACAGATAAACGAAGAAAGAATATCAAATTGTTCAAAAACCAAATCAAATATAAAACTATTTATATCGAGGTTAATACTATTTATTGATAGCTCAAATTTTAATCCCATCAAAAACTGAAATACTGTCTGAAATTCTATGACATTTGATAACTTTTTTGATATAATTAATTTTATGTCGAAACTCCGAAACCAAATTCGTTCGCAGTCGATTCGGTTCTAGTTTAAGCGATAAAATTTGCCACGATTTTGCCGCATTCAGTTGAATTAATTTAAACTAATTGTCAAGTTAACATGATGACGAAACTTGACCCTATTGATGGCAAGAACCAAGGTTCGAACCCCGAGAGGTGCCTTCAGACTAAAGTCGTATCCGTCAGGCAGGAGTTAGCCTTCAGTCGTTCCATAAGGCTTTTCGCGTGTATGGTGTGCCATCTGCACTCGCTCCCTATTGTTCGGTGAAGTTCTAAAGGCTAGCTGCGACGAATATCATTAGAATCGTTAAAAAAAGACCGTATTGAGTCCAGTTCAATTTTAGATATAGAATTTAAAATTGAAGGAAAAATCTTAAATTGTATTAGTATTAATCAATTTTCGATCTAATAATCAACCGGATGTCGATATTCAATTAAATTCGCGCTGGGTGCTGCTTGTAGGGTCTGTTCTCATGACTATTATTGATTTACTAACTGTGCTCATGGTTTCACCAGCGTGCATTTTATAGCCTATGTGTATTTCTGATATCAAAATCCGTTTAGAAGTTTTTGCAGTAAAGAGTAACAAACATCCATCTATACTCATAAACTATCGCGTTTATAATCTTAATAAGATTTTGTTAATTAATTAACTATTAAATTTATTTACTTTTATCGATCTTGCTATTTGACAGTTTGTATTCAAACAATATCCTAAATAGGTAATGCTGAACAACTTTTATTTAAAAAGGCAATTCGAAAGTGCTTTGAATATATGCTGATGATACAAGCTTATTATATTTTGGTCATTCAATAGGTGCTATAATTGTGGATGCACAAGACGATCTAAACTTGCTAAACAAATGGTTTCGATATAATCTTCTAACTATTAATATATCTAAAACAAACGATATCATATTCAAAGCAAAAAACAAGAAAATTGTAGATACTATAGACTTAAAGATAAATAATATAAAAATTAATAAAACTGAAATTGAAAAATATCTTGGCCTTCTTCTCGATAGTACTCTCACATGGAAACCACACATTCAAAAGGTTAAATCCAAATTAACTTCCCTTACTGGAGCATTACGAGGTATAACCCGATGTCTTCCTCATAAAGTGCGTTATTATGTTTACAATTCTCTTGTTAAGCCTCACATCGATTATTTAATAGAAATTTGGGGCACAGCTGCTAATACCAACTTAAACTTAATACAAAAATCACAAAATAGATTGTTAAAAGTACTATTTCATTCCAACTACCTTACATCTACCCAAAAAATATATAGAGAAACAAATTTATTAAATATTACACAAACATATAAATATTATACTAGTATATTAATACGAAAAATATGAACAAAAGACATACATAAGCAGCAAGTGCAAAAAATGCAACTGAGAAACGCAAATAATTTAATATTAAGGCCACCGAGAACTAACTATGGCAGAAAAACTATTGTATGTGAAAGCGCACAGATTTATAATAAACTCCTCAAAGATATTAAAGAATCGCGGTCAATAACTACATTTAAAAAACTATTGAAACACTATATAATAAACTACTATTAGTAATCACAAAAAATAATAGATATATAAATATATAATATAAGAATAGATATATATAGTGTTTTTTTTATAATTATTTTATTTTTATTTGTAAATATCATAAACAATTAATAAATAAATCTAGCATGGTACATCTATGTACATATGAACCCAGTACCGCTGAGGCCATCTATGCGCGGTAAGCCAACCAATAAATGTTATCATTTATGTGGGTAGTTGCTGCTTAGATTTTGTTACTACACCGTCTGCATTATATATACCTTCTTTTGTATTTCCACTAATATTTAATTTTGTACAAGTTTATGCTTTTAGTTCTCATGTTAAGTGAATTATTTGTAATTCTTAATGAGAATAAATATCTAAAACCTTAAAAAAAACCTATAAATATTTTGTCTATTCCATTTTCTATTTCAGTATATATAGTTATAAAATATTATTACAAAATTAACAAGTTTGTAGTTACAATATTGCCATAAGTATATAATATTGATACAATATATATATATAAATAACAAAATATAAATAGTATACCCCAATTCATAGAAGTATAATAGACCTTTTAACCATTTAATATATAAATTTATTTACTTTTGTCGATCTTGCTATTTGACAGTTTGTATTCAAACAATATCTTAAATATGTAATGCTGAAGAACATTTCTTTAAAAGAGCTACACGTAAGTTTCTTGCCCGTTCTTCTTGTAATGAATCTGCTTCCGTATGATTGGTAGAATAAATAACAATATTATATGACTATTCAAAACAAAGAGACAAATTTGGAGCTATTGAAATATGATGCTGGAGAATGATGGAGAAAATTAACTGGAAAGATAAAGTAAGAAATGAAGAAGTATTACACAGGCAAAAAGAAAAAAGGCAGATATAATACTATAGAAAATAGACGAGGAAAAATGTTAGGACACTTGATATGACAATTATAAATTTATGACAGTTATAATTGAGGGAAAGATAGAAGGAAAGAGAGGGAGAGGAACACCAAGACACAGCTACATCAAGCAAATTAAAGACAAAATTGGAGTCGTGACGATCAAGATTTAAAGTGTATGATGGAAGATCGTAAAAAGTGGCAAGAGCTCCACCGACAAGATCGTCGCTCTTAAATTATGAATGAATGAATTCAAAAGAGCTTTGAATAAAGATTTTTTTTATTCCTTTTTCTATTTCAGTTTATAGTTATAAAATATTACTACAAAATTAACAAGTTTGTAGTTACAATATTGCCACATATAATATTGTATCTTCGCTGCTTTCAAATAAAAATAACTATACATAATTAACAATTATACAAATCAATCAAATTTAAATAGTATACCCCATATTCATATAAGTATAATTTAACCATTTAATCTAGATTGAGGAACAAACATAATTACAAACTTTAACTTTTTCACTATTAGTTGAATTAATATCACTATCATTTTTAACTATAACGATTGCTAAAAATTAAATCGATAATCTTATCTGCCACTTAATCCAAATCTGGCTTAATACTGATATTTGCAATTCATTTAGTACAGTAATAAAAAACGTATTTTTTAATCAGTATAAAAGCTGCGAATGGTGTTTTTGAATCATCAGTGACAGTAAGAGAATCGCTCGGTACAAAATGTCCAAGTTCAGTATCAGTGTACTGCTGTTGATGTTCTCGTGTGGGGTCATCATAGCTGATGATGTTACTGATGGTACAGAGCTGCTCTTTTCATTACTGGTAAGGATTACTCTTTAAATAATATCTTCCAGGATATATTATTTTTTAAACTTAGGCAAAAATAAAAAAATAAAATTATTAATAAATTCAAGATATCTTTAAAAATTCTAGTGTTAGAAATAAAAAAATAAATACCTTAACACCTGTTATTCCATATAAGGTAGTCAGAGATATTGTTAATTGTCAACATTTTTATGAAGAACGTAACGCCGACATGTCCACATTTCGCTATAAATAATAACTAATAAGAATATTTGAATCCAATGTGGCAAAGTATTAAACTATGGTGATTCATTGAAAAAATCATAGATTGAGTGCATAATGGTTTCTATGTTAATTGTCGCATGTCTAATCCCTGTTAATGTGTATTTACTTAGAACATCACACACATAATCTTATATACATACATATAAAAGTCTTGATCCATGTTTATGAAAATTTATATGCCTATTCAGTAGGTCTGAGAATCGAGTACTATCTATTTTTTTTTCATACCCCTAAGGGTTGTCCACCCCTAATTTTTTTTTTGTTTTGGACAAATTATCTTTATTGTTCTTTATAATGTGTCATTAAAAATACATACAACCCTAAATTTTCACCCTTCTATCACCAACACTTATCGTTTAATAGTGATTTCAACTATAGGTTAATTACAATTTCTTAATTAAAATCTATATTTACAGATTCATCGTCATGGAGATAGGACTCCCATTGAGTTTAGTTTGCTCTTAAGCAATGACCCTATTACTTTGGTAGCACTGTCGGCTCCGTACGGATATGGCCAGCTCACTGATGTAAGTTTAATTACTATTTACAATAGAATAGAATAGAATTAATAGCGGTTTTGCACACCGCTTTACTGCCTAGGATCACTGGCTTGATTCCTCGCACGGTAAAAACATTTGTATTCATGAGTAATATTGTTAGTATCGGTCTGGGTGTTTTCTATTTATATTATGTATGTAATTACAAAAATATATAGATATTTATATCAATTGTCTAGTACCCACAAGTTTTAACTACCTTAACTTGGGTCTAGATGGCGCTGTGTGAATTGTTCTGAGATTATTCTATTATGTATTCATAAAAAAATATCTAAGTATTTATAACAGTTTTTTAGTACTCATTACACATGTGTAACTTGCTGCTTAGGTGGCTCAAGATTTCGTTAGGGTATAGAAAATCCTATGTTTAAAAAATGATGACTAATACATAATCTTACATTCATTTCAATATCATTCATATGTATGTTAGTCTATAAGGTTTTTATAATACGGATCATTAGTAGCTAGAATTTAATAAATAGATAATTTTTTTCATCCATATTGAGCTTCTGAATTCTTCTATTTAAAAAATTACTTTTTTCAATTAATAGGCTGGAAAAATTCGTGCGTTCGCATTGGGAGATTATATAGGCCGTAGATACAGTGAACTACTAGCTCCTAGATACAACCGTAGTGAAGTGTACATCAGATCAACTGATTCCACTCGCACCAAGATGACCATCCTCACAGCTCTAGCTTCTATCTACTGGCCTGCTGAGGGTACTGGATGGAGTGACAAAATCAATTGGGAACCTGTCCCTTATACTACTGTGCCTGCTAAATATGATTTTGTAAGTTAACTATCGTATATTTATCTTACAGTATTTAACATAAATTTCATTTTTGGGGGAAATGTCATTTTAGTAATGTTGATTAGTAAACCTATTGCTAACAATGTACCATGTCAGGTTGACTTACACGCGGTTCTTTCTGATGATCGCTTTACTTCTGATGGTCATGGGTTCGATTCCTCACACGATGCAAACATTGTATTCATGAGTATGATTCTTTGTATCGTTCTAGATGTTTTCTATGCATATTATGTATGTATTTATAGAAAAAAATGACTATATTTTTTTTATTATTTTGGCCGCATGGCCTTTACAGACAATAGGGGGCGAGTGCAGATGGCACTCTAAACCCGCGGAAGGACTTATGGAGCGGCTGAAGGCCAACTCCCGCCTGGAGGTTACGACTTTAGTCTGAGGGCACCACTAGGAGTTTGAACCTTGGTTCAGGATATCGTAATTTCGATCCTCGTTTGAATTGGACGGGGGATCGATTGAAAGATCAGTAATATTATTTATATCAGTTGTTGAGTACCCATATTACAAGCTCAGCTTAACTTGGGACTAAATGGCGCTGTGCGAATTATCCAAGGTTATTATTATTACTAATAATTTGTTTTTTATTATTTTTTAGAATCAAGGCACAGTGAATTGTCCAACATTCACTAATTACGTGACAGCAGCAATGTTCACTCCTTACCCTGAATTGTCAGAAAGATACAGTGAGATACTCGCTTTGTTGTCAAGCAAGCTTGGCTACAACATCTCAAATGTTCCTCTTATTGTATTCGCTATATATGACGTTTATGTTTCTCAGGTATACTATATTTTGATATATATATAAATTTAATTGCTAACATATATTTATATTTTTCCTGCCTTACGTTTTTGCTGTCTTTAATTATTATTTAGCGGTTGATGGAAAGTAATATTCTGTACTGTGGTCTTCTGTAAGTGCAGAAGCAATCGGGTGAAATGATGAGACAAGGTTTTCCACATCGCTTTATTTCCGATGGTTGCAGGTTCGATTCCTCGCACGGTGCAAACATTTGTAGTCACAACTAGGATTGTTCGTTTCAATCTGGGTGTTTTCTATGTAAATAATTTATGTATTTATAGAGAAAAAATATTTAAGTATTTAAATCGCTTGTCTAGTACCCAAAACACAAACCCTGCTTAGCTTGGGACTAGATTTCTTTTCTTTTTTATTTATTTTCTGAGCATTGTAATTAGACAACGGTATTACGCGCCATGTAACTAAATTAGCACTATTATTTGTTTTTTCTCTATTTGCGTGTTTAATAATTAAGTCTATTGGCACATCTTAGAATTAATCAAATTATTCTGAATATCCTAATTAATGTTAAGTCAAATCTCAGCATCAGTATGTATTTCTAATTAATTACGTTTATCAATAACAATGTCTACAATATTTATGTTTCTTAATATTATTATCATGATCTTCTACTATCTTTAGTAATATTGTAAATGTAAGAGAATTTGTTTGATTTTTATCACTTAGCAGATTAAGGGTACAATTTCTAAAAAGTACACAGTATTCGCAATTTTGATAAATCAAGATATTTTGTTAAGTGTACTAATTTACATTGCATTTAATTTCCAGCTAAGTTTAGGACTTGCCATTGACGACGATGTAGCAGCCGTCCTCGATCAGATTGAAGAACTTGCTGGCATCTCATTCGATTTATTGTATGGCAGTGACAACTATAAGAAATATCAGGCTGGTAAGAATTTATTCTACAAAATATATAATAATAAAAAGCGAAAACTTAACTTTACTGAAATTCTCAGTACTGAGTACTCTATTAAATAAATAAACTTCTTCAGTATTGGTTCTATAATGACTAAAATATACACATTTTATCGAATTAGGTATTACTTTACGGAAGTTAATTTCATTTCTTATTGGATTTGTATTATTTTGTTCAATTTCGCCTATATTAGCATGTGTGACACCACTAACAGTCATTGTGGAAACCTCACTACCGCTCCTAATGACCAACAAAGGAGACAAACTCAAACTTATAGGATTTACACTTGTTTCGCTTTAAAGCGAGGCATCACCAGGCAATGAATAGAGTTTTTATATAGTTTAGATATGTAGTGCTGATTGTTCGGCGACCAGACTAAATACTAAATTTATTGGTGATTATTACAGCAAAGGACCTTAAATAGTAAGAAGTTGACTAAGGTGACATAATAACATAAAATTTGCCCACAGGTGTCCTTCTCAACGAGTTCTACACTTACTCAGCTCAAGCTATTGCTGGAGTCGATACCCAAAGACTGAGGATTTATTCAGCTCATGACGTCAATGTATATGCCTTCGAAGCTGTTACAGAAATTGAGAACAGACAGGGCGCACCTAAATACGCATCGGCTTATAGTTTGGAAGTTAGAAGAGTTACAGAAACTGGTGAAATTGTTGTATTGGTAAGTAACACTTTTGATACTGTATTTATTTTAACCGATAGAGATAATACATGTGTCCGTGTCCGTGTGTGAAATAATAGTAGATTTAAAATAGATAAAAAACAAAAACACTGTTGAATAAGAGGTATAATTTCTGATAGTTGAGACGAAAGATGAAATAAGAATGTAACAAGAAGCAACAGTTCAAAGCAATGTTCAGGATATAAACAATAGTAAAATATAACTATATACGGAACAGCAATCAAATATATTCACAGATTCAATTGATCTAATGAATACTTTTTTTGATACAGAGTAAGCGATAGTTCACATTGTTAATGACAGTGTCGATGGCCAACCGATTTAGTTCCGATGTTCACAGGTTTATGAGTATGATTGTTTGTATCCCTCTGTGTGTTTTCTATGTATACTACGCATCTATGTACAATATAAATGTATTTATATATTTGTATCAGTTGTCTAGTATTATATATATGCCTATTCTAGTATTTGTAGTACCCACTCCAAAAGCTCTGCTTAGTATCGGACTACATAGCGCAATGTGAGTTGTCCTAGTTTATTATTATTATGTTCCAGTTTATTCGACATCAATTTACTGTTACGGGTGAAACTGATCAAGGAATTCTAATATCTTTATCGTTATTATATTTTCAGCCGGTATACCAACCAACTCCAGGTACACCAGAAATCTACTTGCAAGTCAAGGGATGTGGTGATGTACTCTGCAATTACGATCGTTTCGTTGAGATTACCAGCAGCAACGCTTTGGACGAAGACACCTGGAGGATCGAGTGTGGATTCACCGATGACCTCGTCATTGACGATTCATCTGTCGACTAAGAGAATTGGTGTTAAACGATTTTAAGTGCAGTGCAGTTAATATAAAGTTGATTTTTAATAATTCTACCACTACCATAGTCAAGGATTCATCTGTCGCCTAACATATTAAATGATTTTAATCATAACAGCAGTTAATATAAAGTTGATTTTTAATAATTGGACCACTACTATATTATAGTTATTAATTTGTTCATTTCTATTAGCCAGTATACATGACTAGCTGCCCCGCATAACTTCGTCTGCATCACACTTACTTGACATTTATCATTATATTTCGCTCAATTTACTAATCTTTTTAAATTATAGCCTGTTTTATTTTGATGTATAAGCTATATTTGTGTAAAGTTTTATAAAAATTCGTTCAGTAGTTTTTGCGTGAAAGAGTAAAAAACATCCAACCACTCATCTATCCGACCATATTTACAAACTTTTGCGTTTATAATATTATACATGATTAGCTTTTGCCCGCGGCTTGGCTCGCGTTAATTCATCCCCTTGGGGGTAGAATTAATCAAAATCCTTTCTTAGCAGATGCCTACGTCAAAACATCTACCTGCATGCCAAATTTTAGACCGATCCGTCCAGTCGTTTGGGCTGTGTGTTGATAGATCACTATGTCAGTCAGTCCCCTTTGAGTTGTATATATTTAGATGTGAACGTCTGGAATGTTCTTTCCTCTGGTCCATCATATACTGCATTTCAAAAATGTCATATAGCGCCAATTCATTTCAAATAAAGCTCTCTATTAATGTTATATAATTATATTGTTATACTGAAATATTGTTATATTTTATGAATTGTTATTTTATATAAACGTGTTATCTTTTTTACAATAAAAAAAACTAAGCAATTTACTCTTTATTTTTATTTAACACTACCTACTCGCCCTGGCTTTGCACAAGTGTGTATTATACATATAAACCTTTCTCTAGAATCACTCTATCTATTGGTAAAAACTGCATTAAAATCTATTGCGTAATTTAATTAAGATATAAAAGAACAGACAGCAGATGCAACTCCATTTTATGGTCATGGGTTCTATTCTTTGCAGTGCACAAACATTTGTATTCATGAGAATGATTGTAATTTTGGGGTATACAAAATAAATTTAAAGAAAAACATTCTAAACCACTCAAATGCTTTTATTTTATATTAACAAATAATCACATATACTCACGTAAAAAAAACAATCATTGTGATCAAACGCTGTACATCGAAGCAGCCTTCCCAAGATACTGACAGCGTTGCGTCTTTGAATGGCCATACATAACTTCTGGGCAAAGTAGCTACCAGCTCTCAGTTCACAAATAACCTCGATGAGCCGCGCTTACTATACTTGTGAAAAACTCAACTCAAATTGATTATATTATCACAATAAAGTAGGAATAAAGTGGAAGTAATTGAATTCCAATCCGTAGATTTTAAAGGGGATTTGTTTTGCGAAGTAAAATTGGAAGTTAACGGTTTTTAGGAATTATCAGCCCGTCATGTTCCAACAGGATTCCTCTTGAGTAAACATAATAAACTTTATAATCCCTACTAATGGTGTAAACAATAATGCGAGTTTATTTGTTAGTATTTTTGTTGTCAGGCACTTTTAAAACTTAGTAGGTATATACTAGCTGACCCGCGCAACTTCATCTGCATTACACTTACTTGACATGTATCATTATATGTCCAATTTACATAATATCTTTTAAAATTATAGCCTATATATTATTCTGATGTATAAGCTATATTACTGTAAAGTTTTGTCAAAATCCGTTCAGTAGTTGTTGCTTGAGAGAGTAACAAACATCCATCCATACTCCAAACTTCCGCGTTTATAATATTAGTAAGATATACTTAACTGGCTGTCCCAGCGAATGTTGTTTTGTCACATAAATTAATTAGGCTATTAAAAATAGGGGTTGATGATAAAAGGGTATATATCTAGACTTGTATGTATTTTAATGCCAAATCATATAGACATCATATAACATTAAATTATGTCAATAAATTATATCACTTACGGGAAATTTTTGTCATATTGTTTAAGCCTACATTTATAACCCAAAGAATAGATAACAACCACAAAAATAGATAACTTACCGTCGTACAGACGTAAACAGACGTACCGTCCGAGAATAGGTAATCTATTTTTTGGGTTATAAATGTAGGCTTAAAAATATTTCAAAAAAATAAAGAAATATATTTTTGGGTGGGCCACCCTTATTACTTTGGTTTTAAAAAATAGATAAAAACCTATTTTCATACGGTAGATCTGAGAATAGGTTATTATATATTTTTATTATTTATATTTTACATATAAAAATTCATACAAATCAGTTCAGTAGTTTAGAATTCCATCGTGGATAAAACTTGACTTGAAATTTTTATATATTACGAAGAAGAAGATATTAAGATAGAACTGTAAATGGTCACTGTCATTATTTGTATCTAAAAATATGTCAGAAAAAAACTAATAATGCAGAACTTTGATGTCCTCCGTGCTCTATAGGTTTAAATAAAATAATAATACCAAACAACATCCATAAAATAATAATTTTTATTAAAAAACTATTTACAAAACTTATTAAAAATGTATTTACAGACAATAATATTTACAAATAATAATACATTACAATAATTACCGATAAACAAGAATTGTAATAGATATGCGTGTTTATATAGACATAGATAACACGACAAAAACAAATATAGTATGAAGAAATATAAATAGTATTTCTTTACCAAATATTTTGTTGGTAAAGAAACTGCCTCAACAAGTACCATATTCTTTGAATGTTTCAGTTTTTGGTTTTTGGAGACCAAAAATGTCTCATATATTATATATTTATATCTATATTATATATTGTTGATATATTGGTATGTCTGTATATATGATGTACAGACCTCGTCGTCATACACGTAATTATAATAAGTCATATTTTAAATTTACAAAAAAGTATTAGAAATATTAAATAAGCAACATTTACGCAACATATTTATTGATGAAATAACAAATCAATAAGGCATTTTAAAACTATGAATTACTATAACAAAGTAGCAAAGTGTTCACATATCGATGTACATGACTCTTCTATAAAAGTTTTACGTAGAATTCTTTTGGATTTACATTTTCTAGAATTATCCATTTCGCTTTTCCTATTTTAATATAAATCACGACATGTGCCGCACAGATAATGTGAAGTGTGGTATCGCCACAGTTGATTACGATCGGTGGCAATTGCAATGTCATTGTATTCGATTAGTTATTATACCTCAATGGTTATATTCGCGTGCTGCTTGTAGAGACTGGTCTGCTCTAATGATTATTTATTTTGTTATTTAAGTATCTATTATATTTATTTACTTTCACTCATTTTTGCTATTTGATAGTTTGTATTCAAATAAAATCCTAGATATGATATACATATATATAATACTAACAATATTTATTTAAAAGAGTAACACGTACGTTTCTTTCCCGTTCTTCTTGTGATTAGTCTGCTTTCCGAATCAAACAAATATTACGACTATTCTTCTATTCTATTCTCTTATATTAGAAGTGTTTGTATTAAGTTAATTTCAATAGAGACTATTTCTATACACGGATTGTGTGCTCATTGTTTATAAATAAGACGGACTATACAGATAGAGAAAAAACAGAGTCTATAATTTTTTAATCCTTACTTCTTACTAATCATATAAATGCGAAAGTAACTCTGTCTGTCTGTCTGTCTCGCTGTCACGCCAAAACTACTGAAGCGATTTAAATGAAATTTGGTACACAGATAGTCTAGCACCTGAGAAAAGACATAGGCTACTTTTTAATCCGAAAAAGGGTTGAATGGGGAGATGAAAGGTTATATGGAAGTATCGATAATTTACGCGGCCAAAGTCGCGGGCACATCTAGTACAGTATAAATAACTTGAAAGCAATAGAAAATGTCAGTATTAAATTCAACATAAAGTTGTTTTGTTCGGACCAATTAGGCGAGCCACTGCACTCAGACCGCAGAAATTACATTAAAATGCAAAAACTAGTTCAAGCAAAGTAATGAATATAGTTTGTTCGTGATCGCAATACTGCGATGAGTAAAAATAAAAAAAAAAAACACATTGTCTGTGCTATATTCGAATAGTTGCTTTTTCATTTTAATTACAAAACTGATAGACCTCCAGATGGAAATTGGGGTCTAATTATATAACAATATTATTAACAATTCACAATTGTAACAGTTCAACACCTTAAAGACCGCATGCCCACCGGTGGGTCACTCCGCAACGAAAGTAAATTTATACGCTGGGAATTCAACCCTGGGAACTTTAATTGAAATAAATCTAGGGGTTCAATAATGTCTACCTCAAATTATTGTACAATAAAAACAATATTTTAAAATCTACGTAATTAACAATGAAAGAAATGCCGGTTAATATGTGAGAAATAAAATTTTTCAATGCTGTCTTTAACGTGCTGAAATTAGTCTTCTAGAGTTAATTTTGCCCGGCAAATAGGTGGAGCGACGATATGTAGTGTTGTGGGTAGTAACTAGACGAGAAGGGCTAAAGATCGTGCCCAGTGGCATACCTTGGGTAGAACTATGTCCAGCAGTGGACTGGACTGGGCTAAAGATGATGATGAAAACTCGTTGGGTTGAGATTTTCTATGACTCATTTGAGAGTTACTGAAGCGAGCACAGTTGCACGGTCCGCAATTGCAACTGTTAATGCAACCGTGCATTACTGCAATATTGGTCCCAGTTTCATATATAAATTGTTAATAACATAATTACATGATTAAAACCCCTATAACCATCGGTTCTACTTACATAAACTGCATCACAGATATCAAACCTTATAATATATAGATGTTAGTATATACCTAAGAAATAACAGAGTAATTCTTTTTATATAGATATTAAAAATAAAATTATAAAATAGCATGTATAGTGATCCTTTGCCGAGCTTAATTAGAAATTAAAAGTGAATTCAAACACACAGAGATAGAACTAACGACATACTACAAAGATAAATTTGACTAAAAATCATATTTTTCTACCATTTTAATTAGTTTTCATGCAAAAAAAAAAGCAGTAAATTAGTTCATCAGCGTACAATCCCACAGAAGTACTTCTATTTCCTTTCCTTTGCACTGGAGTTTAAAAAAAAAGTATTGAAATAACATTTGCAGTAGAATGTTATAATCAGACTTCTCATAGTACTAGTTGGGAACAAAATTTTTATATTTGTATATTATAGAATGTATGGTATTATTATAGTAAAAGTCCATTTCATTGCGTGATGGATTTATATATATTTTTTTATTTCTACTATTAGCATGTGTGAGGTCACAAATATTCAGTGGAAACCTGACCACCGCTACTGGAAGAGTTACGACCTTCATTACGATATTCCGACTGATTCCATTTTTTAATCTATCTACACCCATAATGCGAAACGCGTTTCGTATCTGAGCGAGGCATCATCAGACATAGAATGAAGTTCGGATAAAGCTTCAAGCCTATTGTTGACTATTCGAAGTTTTATCGTCGAAATTTAAATATTTCTTTTAATATAAAGCTGTACAAACTTTTTTTCAATGCAATTTTGGTTCAGTTCTCATAAGGGCCATGAAAATTCTATACAACGTGTGCTAATTGCTCTATCATTATAATTAGACATTTATAATCATCATGATTTCAGCCCGGAAGATGTCCACTGCTGGACAAAGGCCTCCACCAAAAAACTCCACGACGATCAGTCCTGCGCGGCGTTGGTTGCCAACGCTTTCTAGCGATCTTGATCAGATTATCGCTCCACCTTACTGGAGGCCTACCCACGCTGCGTCTTCCGGTAAACATTAAACCATTTTATTTCTTCTTAAATTTAATGTTAATATTAAATAAACCAATACTCTACAATATTAGAGCAACAAATTTTCTATTTTTATGAATACGAACATTATTAATTACTAAATTATAAATTAAATAACAAATCACAGTATTAGTATATCAACATAAACTAAATTATATATTAGAAAATCTTGTTTACAAATTGTAATTCTGATTATCTTGATTTATTTGTCAATGTAGTGATAAAAAAGATAATGAAATAGCCAAAAAATAAAAATACATTTCTAATTTATTAAAAAAACGTCATGTTGCGCGACGTAGTGTGTGCCATTTTCCCTAATTATGTAACAGTTTTTATTGCTATTCTACTCCTATTCGTCGTAGCGTGACGGTATACACCTTCCGCGATAAGTGAACTGCCCAACACTACAAGAATATTTAAAATTGGTTCAGTAAATCCAGAGATTACCTACAACCTCAGAGCTTCACAATTTTTTTTTATAATATTAGTATAGGTTTAAACAAACGATACATATGTATTGTGTAAAATGATAGAATGTGAATAAAACGGCCCCGGATCTAGGGGGAGCAACACGAGGTCCATGCCTCGGGCGGAAAAATCTGTGGCTGTCTCATCATTAACGCACCTTTGCCTTGACCACTGGCAGCCGGACGTCAAGTAAATTGGTTTTGTTCAACGTATTTGAAAATAAAGATATGACTATTAAAAAAACCACAATCATTAACAGCAATAGGAATTGGACAAATTGTATTTTAATATGTTCATTCATAATTAAAGAGCTGAGCTCTCATCAGTGGAGCTCCCGCCACCTTCCATGATCTTCTATCAATCTTTTTAGTTGTTGGTACACGACTCCAACTTTTTCCTTAACTTATTTGATATAACTGAGTCTTGGTCTTCCCCATCCTCTCTTTCCATCTATTTTTCCTTTGATAATATTATTAATGTATATTGTAAAAATGTTGGCCGGAGGGGGAGGGTGCACGGAGCCTTGGGGGGGGGGGGGCGGTATTTTTAAGTTTTTCCCCGCCTCGAAGAAAATGAAGATCCGGAAGTGAAAAGCTCTTTGAGATTTCTTTACCATAAAACCTACTTAGAGTCGATAGATATTTTTAAATTACTTTATATATCTAATATTACTATTAACTTATTACATTATCATATAAATACAGATTCTCAAGTAAGTCCGCTGTTACAAATGAAAAGCAAACTTAATAGATTGATATTAATACAGATTGATTGGCAATATTACGATACCCATTTTAGATTTGATAGTGTAATAAGGTCTTTATACTATTAGTATTTGCGTACATTATTAAATTATACGTTTTATAATACAATTTACGTTTTATATAGAATCTTATCTTTCTCTATTATTACTGATTTCATCGGAATCATAAATATATGTCAGTTGAGTGTAGTCGAGTGACTATTCTCGTGAGAATAGTAATATATAATATAATATTACTTATTCTCACGAGAATAGTAGTAGTAGAGTGAAAGAGTAATATTAAATGGTAGAGGCGAATTTCAAATTATGAAATTATTAATCAACTAACAAACTCTGTTTATGCGCGTTTTAGTTCATATTGCATAGAAAATAAGGATTATGAACAACTTCCAATAGTATCAATAATAAGATTTAATGTTTGTATCTATTTAAGTTATTAATATTGATGTAATGTTTTGTATCTTCTAAAATAACGTTGGTCATTCATAATACTAAGTTTTATGCATGAATTTCTGGGAAAATTATTTTTACTTAAGAAAATATAATATAATGTAATATACAGGTTTGATTCGGTTTTATCCGGTTTTATCCGGGTTTATCCGATTTTATCCATAGTATTGGGGTCCGTGGTAATATTGGTCGCCTCTTCGGTCGATCACCACCAGATTGGCATTCCTTGCAGGGTAACCGTGGTGGTACACCCATTTCTTGCCAGAGTTCTTACCACCTTTTTGGAATTGGGCATGACCGTGCTTTCCGTGGCTGTCATGACCTTCAGCTACTTTGTGACCCTGGAAATCAGTTTGTTAATTTTAGAACAAGAAAAAAAAGGAAGAATAGAAAGAGAAGAAGAATGGCGGATTTATCCTCATAGGATGTAACCAGAACCTTATCTATATATTAAGACGTTAAGTAAAACTTTGTATGAAATTTCGTACACATATATAGTTTATATAAAAAAAAGAGTAGAATGCCAATTTTTTTTTCAATTCTGCATAAAAATACAAAAATAATAATAAAAGAACATGATACACACTGCCATGTATTTCTCACACACTCATATATAACTTTTTTATTTATTGTCTATGTGACTGCCAGTGCATAGAATAGTGTGATTGTAGAAGTATGGTCTTTAACAATAGATCCTTAAAATGTTCAAACTTATAATTTAAATTAATTATGGTCGAATTTCGACCATAGGCGACACTAGTATAAAATAATGATCCTACTAAACCTATTTAGGTTTCTTAAGGATAGGCACATGACTAAAGCGCACGTGACACATCTGGTATTCCAGGCGTCGATATGCTACGGTAACCATTTACCATCGGATGGGCCGTATGCTTCTTTAATATTTTTTGTATTCTACAGTATTATAGCCTATTCGTAAAGAAGTTTTCCATGTTTGTTATTACCACATTTAAAAATAAATCTCGCTAAATAATCTCGATCCATTCGATCGAATCTTGATTCCATCAAAAGTTTGCAGTACAACGCTGAAGTTATTTGCTCAGTGGTTGGCGGTAATAAGTTCACAGGAAATGTGGCGGGAATAGAATTAGAAAGAAAGAAATTCGAATTCTCAATATGAATATTATTATATGTTTCTTTTATACATAACACAGATTCTCCATCTTATTCCGTTTGTCGCCTCCTTTTTTTTTTATAAATAAACTACAGTTTCAATTTTTTCCTTCTTTTTTAAATAACTACTATATAACAGACAATTTATTTTTATTTATATTTTATTATTAATTCATTTGTTATTTATACGTATGTTAGTCTAAAAGGTATTTATAAAATGGGCTACATGGAATTAAATAAATAAATAAAATAATTAAAAACAGCACATAATATACAAATTAAAAAAAATGAAATCTGACTCGATATTTAATTGCTAATAATATAATTCATATTATGTTGACAACATCGTTTCAATTCGTCACCTAATCTTTGTAAGATAGAAACCACAAAACTGTTATAATATTTTATACTTATTGGTAAAATATTCTTTTACGATATTTTCTTAAGGTACCATTCTTCTAGGCCGATTAAATTCTTTAAATTTCTTCTTCAGAAAAAAAATTAAGTAATACATCCTAATTTGAAATGTCCAATTTCAACTAAACTTTACTTTCCAATACAGTAATTTGTCTGTTTTTTTTTTGTAATTTAATATAATGTATCATCTTCAGCCCACTGCAGTCCACTGCTGGATATAGGCCTCTCCCAAAGCACGCCACTGGGCACGTTAAAAAGTTCAATTTCAAATAAACTTTACTTTCCAATACAGTAATTTGTCTGTTTTTTTTTTGTAATTTAATATAATGTATCATCTTCAGCCCACTGCAGTCCACTGCTGGATATAGGCCTCTCCCAAGGCACGCCACTGGGCACGATCTTCAGCCCTTCTCATAATATAATGTATGTGAAATTTTAATTACATTATTTATTTATTTTAGCTAACCAACAGCTTATTTACAATTTATAGTTTTACATAGTAAAGCCAATAATAGATACCTCCAGGATTTATCTTTAATAATAATAATAATAATATCTCAGGACAATTCACACAGCGCCATCTAGTCCCAAGCTAAGCAGAGCTTGTGTTATGGGTACTAGACAACTGATATAAATACATGGATACATTTTTTTTTTGTAAATAAATACATATTATACATAGAAAACACCCAGACCGATACAAACAGTCATACTGGTTGCGCCATATAACATTACATTTTTGTTTATCATTGTATAATTATTATTAGTAATAGTTTGTTCAAATAAATAATTTAGCGTGGTACGAAACGTTAATTTTCTAAGGATTGGCACTACACTAATTCCTTTATCCTCTCCTATTCCCGCACATACCTTTGTTTTAAGTGCGAGCGAGAAGATTCGCTTGTATCGAAAGTGACATATCGCGCTCGCGCGTCACTGTTAAATTGAACGCTGAAGTTGACATTGAATTCCCGCCTTGATCGCGCTTAAGATCAAGTTTTTTGTAATTCGTGATAATTACTAAACATTTTAATCCACCGCATCGCTCTAGTGTGTTTAAGACCATTGTGTTTGTGCCATTGTTGTGAAGCAAGTAGCTGGGACCTGGAGACACCGATAGCCGCCGCACTGCAACCTACAATTCAAAGGTACTGTGCCTCCTTCCTTACCAGAACTGTCTTTCTTTGTGTTCCATCCTCACAAGCAGTTCTCAATCACCAACCTAACAGTGTATCGTGTCAATCCACGTACCCGTCAGATTATTTAGATACAGTCCACTTAAATCAAAATCAAACAATATTTATTTCACCCGCGCCGCCATTATTTTAGTGGTCCTTCGAGCCGGATATTGTAATTATTTGGTTAAACCACACTAGATATTTTATTTCTAGGTATATTTCGTACAAACGCATACAATTAATTTGTATTTTACTACATCATTTTCTTTATTTCGTTATATCGATGTTTCTAGAATCTCGTAGGTACATGTAGGTACAACTACCTGATAGATTCATATCAAATTCCGTGTCAACTCAATTTCGCATCGTAAGTAATAGTAGGTATTTACGATTTGTTGTAATACTCCCGCATTGTTTTAACCTAACTATAGGTAAAACAACTTTATTTTTGTAGTCACCGCATTTATATTCGTAGTTATCAATTACTTTCGCGCCATTGTAGGTAGTCTATCTACCTACATATTGATATCCTCAGGCCCCCTTAGGGTAGGCTGAGACGCATACGATATTATAGCTTAATATTATCGCTTTCTACCGGTCTACTATTGAATAGGTTAGCGGCATAGACTTTGAATTTAGTTCGCTGTAATAAACAAGACATTGCTTACGCTGTAATAAACAGACATCGCTTTGTTTAATATAAATATTTGACAGATTCTTATCACGAGTACGTTGTGGTTTATTATTTCGTATTTTAATTGTAAGTACATTGTGTACTGCCGGCTCTCATTGCACCGCACCGCACCGCACCGCACCGCACCGTACCGTACCGCACCGCACGTAACTTGTGTAGGTATTTATCTGTTCTCCACCGCACCGCTTTCTTATATATTTATTAGTACAAACAAGTTTTTGTATTTATAGGTTGTTCATCATGTCGGATGTCAATCAGTTACCCCTGTTACTCGCTAAAAAGGATTTAATGTTTTCTCGCATACAAAGTATTACAGATAGGACTCATAATCTTTCTAGTGAATATGAAAGAGAAACATTCTTGTGTGAGATCGAAACAGTTGACAAATTACGCTCGGATTTCGAAACTATGTTAGATAAAATAAATACTTTAGAATCTAAATTGAATCCTAAATATGTTATTAATTATCAACCGCTCATGGCATTTGATGATTTGTATTGCCGTATAAAACGAGCCGCAAGATCGCTAGAGGTACCGCCTGATGTCAAACATCATCAGCATAATAGGGATGAGGACAGGCCTCGTCTGCCCCCTACCAATTCCGGAATACTCAGGAGATCTGAGATCCTGGTCTTTATTCTATACAGCTTACAAAAGCATAGTTCATGACAATCCTAGATTGTCAGATTCGGAAAAATTACATTATTTGATGGGTAAACTGACAGGTAAAGCTCGTTCTGTATTTGCCGGTATAAACCCTTGTTCTGAAAATTATAAGGTCATTTTAGATGCTTTAATTAGTAAGTATGAAGATAAGAGATTGCTCGCATCATCATACCTAGATCAAATATTAGAAATGAAGCCCTTTCATTCATCAAATATAAATAATTTAGAACAATTTCTCGATAAATTCGCAACTTCAGTATCCGCGTTAAATAACTTAAAAATTAATAATCTTTCGGATTTTATATTTTTGTATACAGCGTTAAAGAAATTAGATTCCGAAACCGCCCGCGCTTTCGAACTAGATAAACGGGGATCCGACATCCCATCTTTCGATACATTAGTGTCATTTGTGCGCGATCACATTAAAATATTGCAACGCACTTCTTCAAGCAACCAAGAAGTTACTAAGAAAGTTGTCGGTCGTCGTATGGATGCGGCATCGAAAGTTATGCAACATAAATCTACATACTCTTATACTACAACCGCTAATCCGCAGCCTAAGTGCTCATTGTGTAACATACAACATGAACATTTATATAAATGTCCAGGTTTTCGAAATTTAACGCCTAATGATCGTTTCCGATTTGTTAAATCTAATTCCTACTGTATTAATTGTCTAAGTAAAAATCACCGTGTATTTAATTGTAACTCAAATAGTCGATGTCACAAATGTGACTCAAAACATCATACTATGCTCCACTTTGAGCATAGTAATGCCACCTCCACCGCGAACATACTCAGTGGTAGTTTGGTCACAGCGACTACGTCACGCGTAGTGGATCTATCGTCGCACTCGTCGCACACGCAGCCCGCTGTTGGTGGCGGCGGCGGCGGCCGACCGGCTCCTTGCACGTACCGCGCCCCGCACTCACCCCCGCCGACACCCGTTGTTTGTACTATCCTTTTGTTCTTTTGTAAATAAAACAAATATTTTGTACTCATGTAAAGGATCTTGTATTTTCCCTCCAATGAATTAGCTCAGAATGACAATTTAGTTAGTGTTCTGTGTTCTTTTTTTAAAAGTTACATAATATAGCAAAATGAGGTTGCATACATTTATAAGTAACACCTAACGTCTTAGACATTTTCCCCCACCAAGAACATTTAGTGCCAAAATGTTCTTCAGAATTGTTTTCGCACTACAACCAACTAAGAAAGAATATCATTATATATATATATATAAGTGTACTAG